TTTCTTATGTTAACATGCAACATTTTCAAAGAATTTATAAATTTTTTAAAATTAATATTTTGAAAATAATGATTTGAAAAAAAAATAATAATAAGATATTAATATAAAAATATAAAGTAAATATGAAAAAATTTAAAATTAGTCAATAGAAATTAATATAACATAATATAACATCTATAGTTTTCAGAAACAATTGAATGATAACATATAAAAAATGCAATTTCACAGAATATCTAGAATATATAAATTATTACATTTCTAAATGACAATAAATATATATTATTTAATGAATAAAGTGAATAAAGTTTTTAAATTGTTTTTTTATAAATTATAAAATAACTATTAAAATTTGTATTTTTTATATTTTTAAACAAATTATCATCATATAAGATAGAAAAATTTTAATTAAATCAAATTATAAAATGATAAATTGATAATATGATAACTTACATTTTTATAATAAATAATTTTAAATACTACTTAAAATTAAATAAAATAAAATATTGTAATTAAATATATAAAATATAATAAATTTATATATGGAATTATATTGTTTTAATAACCTTATAAATTTAATTAATACATAATATTAAAAGCAATATGTATTATTAAAATAAAATTACAATATACTCTATATTTTTATAGTTTAATTTTTAAAATATATTATCATCAAATATAATATTATAATGATAACAATTAAATTTATTAATATTATTAAATCGAAAAGAAAAATTTAATAGTATATTTATTTTAATTTTATTATTATTATGATATTTATTTATTTTTCTAATGAAAGGAGTAGAAAAAATACATATTTTATCATTTATCATTATTTAAAATTACCACTTTTTCATATAGTGCTGATACTTGCTAGAAGATATCGTGCAAGTCGTATGAACGTAAAATATATGTAAAGTGTTCAGTGACAATTTACGATATATTCGTACAAAATCTTAATACTTTATATTAATATTATTTTATTATAAATTATTATTAAAAGATTAAATTTTTTAGATAAATAAACTAATTTAAACATTAGTAACTTTTTTTAATTTAATCGCGAAAAATGGCTGATCCTAAATATGCTGATTTACCTGGAATTGTAAGTATTTCATATAATGTCAAAATTATATTGATGTAATTTTATTATATATATATATATATATATTTATTATTATATTATACATACATGTATATATATATATAATTTAATACAAAATGAACACAGAATTTATCAAATATAAAATTTCAATAAAAATGAAATAAAGATTTGGTATAATTTTATTTAATATTCTATAATTTATGTTGCGTTGAATGTAAATGATATTTTGATATTTTTATTGTATTTATAGGCATATGATCAAGTTGATGTTTATGAAACTACTGATTTACCAGAATCAGAACAATTTCAACTTTATCCTGAGGTATAATATTATATGTATTATGTAAAGATTATTTATAATATATTTATTATATGTTACATTATTTAATAGTATGAATATTTATATTTTTAGGATGAAACAGATTCTATAGAAAAGTTACATATTAGTGCCACAGAAGCATTTAATAAATTTAAAAATAAACATGTTATCAGCAAAGGAGTTGATTTTTCAGATCGAGTATCACTCAAACCAAGAACTGGCTATAAGTAAATTTTTTTTGGTAAATAAATATAAAAAATAAATTATATATATTGAAAGATATAAATTTTAGATTTGGAGATTGGGAATTACCTGGAGAAGGAGAAAAAGAAACCCTTATTCAAAAATATCAGCGTTTACAATGTGAAATTAAAGAATTATATGAAGAAGTGAATGATTTAAAAGTATTTAATTTATTTGTTTTTATTTATTTATTATTTTATTTAGTAAAAAAAATATATATATTTCACTTTTTTTTATGAAATAGGAAAAAATGGGAGAAGATGAAGTAAAATCTGTTGCTGGTGTGATTTCTCAAGTACAACTTCTAGAAAAACAATTAGATTCCTTAAAATTAGAAGAATGTCTTGGAGCTGATCTTGTTGCTACTCTGTCTGATCCACAAGGCACAAGAATGAAGTAAGTTTATGTTATAATAATGAAACGTAGAATGAAAATTGTTATTAATGAATATTTTAGACAATTGATATCACAAATAGAAGCATTCAAGCAAACTAGTATTCTTACTTCTGATACTGATTCAAAAGTGCAAAATATAAAAGATGATAAAACTAATAAAACAGAACCTGGTGTACTCAAGTATCAGATGATGTATCTTCCAGAAAAAGCAAGAATGCAAGAAGCAGCAAGAATTGCATTACTTGAACAAAGGCTTTGCAATTTAGAAAGTATCATTGGAACAACTAGTGATAAACTTTCCAAATTTTCACAGGTATATGATGTGATTATTTTTTATATAATTATAATAATTAATTTAATATTATATAAACAATAAATTTTTTTATAGAATCTCAAAGGTCAAGGAGTAATGGAAGCTCTTCAAGAATTAGGAGCAAAAGCTGCATTACTAGATACTTACCAATTAGATATAATTGAAAGTCGATTAGCTACATTAATTCATAGAATGGATAATATTGCACAGAAAAAAACTGCATTAACATTAGATTCAGAACAAGAACAAAAAGTAAGTTATTTTTTTTTCAAATAATTAAATAATAATTTATGTAAAATTTTGAAATTAGAAATCCAATAAAATTTATTAAAATCAAATTTTGTTTTTAGATTTCAGAAATGTATGATATCATGAAACAAACAGAAACTATGTCACAAATTTTACCACAAACTGTAAATCGAATGTTGGCTTTAAATACCATTCACCAACAAGGTATGTATCTAAATATGAGAAAAACTTTACATATATTTTTGTTTTAAAAATATATATTATTTTTTCAATATATTTCTTTTTAGCTGCTACATTTAATAAATCTTTAATACGTTTAGAAGAATTACAATCACAAATAACATCCGATTTGGAGAGTAATAAATCTCTTTTAAAAGGAGTTCAAGAAAGTTTTGCATCAAATTTAGAAATTATAAAAAATAATATAGAATCATTAGATGAACGTATTAAAAAACTTAACAAGTGATAATTTATAAAAATATAAATGAAATTTTCATTATGATGCTTCAATTTTTTTAGTATATATTTATTAAATTATGTTATTTACTAATATATATTTTCTAAATGTATTTTTAAATTATTCATTTAATATACACCATCATATATTATATTCTTAAAATATTTTTATCAGAATCTTTTAAATTATTTTTTAAAAATATTTTAAATAATATAAATTAAGTATCTTTGTATTCTCGTAGTAAGATGGCTAATTCATTAATGTATACATTATAAATTAAAAATAAATTAGAATCATGCTCTTTTCAAGTATATATATAAAAAGATTAAAATTGTTTTTTTATTCTGGAGTAGGAGAATAAATGGGAATTATTACATTTAAAATACTTGTAAATTTTATATTTATTTAAATTTAATTAAAACCGTAATTTTTGGAAGAACCATTTGTTTTTACCAGATTTGTACCTAAAAATAAATAATTATATGTATTGTTTATTTATAAAATTTTTATATTAAAAAAAATAAATTATAAAGTTAAGTTAATTTATAAAATACAATAAATATTAAAAAATTAATATAAATATATATACTTTTCTTCAAATTTAACACGAGTTTGAAATCGTATCTTCTTGCGTTTCATTGGATCTTTAAGATCTTTAGGTGTTACTTTATCCCAATGTAAATCTACAGTATATCTTGTTGGCATTAAATGATTATAATTTAATACCTATAATTGTATATATTTAAATTATATTTATAATAAATATATTAGTATATCAAAATATAATTTAACAAAAAATATTTAATATAACCAAAAAAAAAAAAATTATATTAACAATTAATAAGAAAAGTTTAAAGATATTAAATAATTATTGATTTTTTCAATTTTCAATAATAATTTATAAAACTTACTTTCACAAATGGTTTGATTTTAGAACGTTTGTGAATTTTTGCTTTACCCATTCTTTTGTGTACTTTACGTGGATATCGATCAATACCAGCTACCATTGCATGTCCATATTGTTTTTCTGTAGTTCCATCATCATAGTTACGCATGATGATAGCTTTTCTTCCAGCATATCGGCCACTAAGAACCAATACGACTTTTCCTGTTTTCATAATCTTCACCATCTTGAAGATATGTCTAAATATAACAAAGATATGATAAGAAAATAAAAAATTAATTTAAAAATTATAATATAAATGTTTTATTATGAAACTCATATGTAATAATTTATATTATATTATTAATTATTAATTTTTTTTTAGCAAAATCTGTTTAACACAGATTAAATCATAATTGTAAACACATATCACATAACTTCTTCTTTATCACAAATACTAAAAAATAAAAAAATAAATTTACACAAAATTAATATTCTTAAAATTTTAATTTTTTGATATTCTTAAAATTTAAATAATTATTTTAATTTTAATTTAATATAAACAAAATTTTAAAAATATATATCAATATATTCTCTTACAAGAACTTATTATTAAAATTGTAAAATTGGAAAAATCATTGCTATTCCAAAAATATCGGAATAAACAATATTAAGACCAACATTATATATACAAATAAATTATTTTTCTATTTCTCGATGTTTTTGGATTAGTTTCTGCAATGACAAGCACTACACACCTCACAGTTTTTCACACCGAAAAAAAGGAAGTTAACCTAACTTTCAATTGCTTATCCGTTCAATATTTAAAATTCAACCTACAGATGTCGTATTATTACATCCGGTAATATTTAATGATAACCAATCCTAAGTCGCGATTTAAATGATATTCAATAAAATTATTTTTTAATAAAAAATTTTCGTTTGAATCAATTTTGTACAAAATAATACAAACATCTTTATTTATTTTTTACAATATAAATTAATTAATTTTTAAAAAATCAACGAAGTAGATTTGCGTATTTCCAAATCAGAAGCAATCACGAATCAGAAACAGCATTGTTTGTGCGAAAACGAGTATATACAATCGTTGCCAAATATCTAAACTTTTCGAGAGTTCGAGAATAATTCCGATGATTTTCTCGATACATCGAAATGATTGGTGGACATAAGTAGCTTCCTGCTCGCTTGTATCTTGCACGAGGGATGTTAATAGGCATTATTTTACTCTTATCGTAGAACTTTTTTTAAATACAATTTGTCAACGGATTGAATCACTTGGAAAGACTGATATTGTTAGTATTGTGTAGTAATTGTGAACACAATAAATTAGCGTAATGGCATTAAACCCCCAATATGAAGTTATCGGAAAGGGTTTCGTACAACAGTATTATGCGATGTTTGACGATCCTGCTCAAAGACCAAATTTAATAAATATGTATAATGTAAGTTTTTATTAACGTAAATATAATCATATTTTTTATATTATATTTATTTAATTGTTATATTCATAGACCGAGTCATCTTTTATGACATTTGAGGGTTTGCAAATACAAGGTGCTATTAAAATCATGGAAAAACTAACTGTAAGTATTTTATGGAAGAAATATATATACATATAATTTTATTATATTAATATATTGTATATATTATAAATATTATTTTTTCCAATATATTTTATATAAATAATTGTACTATTAAATATTAAATAAATATAAATGTATTATATTAAATAATTATATTTTTTATAAAAAGATTATATGAAATACAAGAAAAATAAATATAGTATTTTTAATATTTTTTATTATATTGATTATTATTTTATTATTAATTTTTAATTTTCAGAGTTTAACATTTCAAAAAATAAATCGGATAATAACTGCTATTGATTCACAACCAATGTTTGATGGTGGCGTACTCATTAATGTTTTAGGAAGGTTGCAGGTAAAGAAAATAGCCTTTTTTATAATATAATTATAATATAAAAATATAAAAATTTTGACATGAGTAGTATAATATTTATATATGTTAATAGTAAATATTATACATAAAAGAATTTTATAATTCAATATGTGCAGAGATTTTATTCCAATTAGTTCAGTAATTTAACTTTTTTTACTATTCCTATTTAATATATAATACAATACGCTTTCAAAAATAAAAATACATTTGGCCTAATATTTTCTTTTTAAATTCTTTGATTGCATTTATTTCTATTCGTCCACATATTGTATTTTATTGGCTGGACATGTTACACAAATGTGTACTGTACTGCCTTACATTTTTTGTGCTGCCATATGAAGATAGAGATTGAGCTATGACTAATGTCCAGCAACAATCTCTCTATATACCTCCGCAAAGAAGATGAAATAAGAAAATTCAGTCAGTGATTGTTGATGATTGGGCAGACTGATGAGGATCAGCCCCATGCATACATCCAGACATTTGTCCTGAAGCCAATTGGTACCAGCTTTTACGTGCAGCATGACATCTTCAGACTTGCTCTGCATAACACGGTTTAGGCGTCAGGTATTATTATTCCATTGATCTTCGTATCATGGTACAGGCAAGCTTGATACTAATTCTTAGTGTCTAAAGCTGCTTAATGTTTGTCAATATGCTTTTTTATTATTAATTTTAATTTTATTATATATTATTTGCAACATTGCTTTATGTTTGCTGTAATTTAAGATTTAAAAAAAATAATTTTTGCACTTACTAATATTACTATATAATAATTTGACAAACATGGAGATTTAAAGTAATTTTGTAATATAATGGAAGTATTTACTGCATTTTAAAGTTTATTATTATATTATATTTAAATTTAATAAAATTTCTTAATTTTATTAATTCAATATTTGCATGTATTATTTAATTAATTATACTTTGATAAATTATCTAATAAAAATGATAGTAAAGAGAAAACTTTAAATTGCTGAACTGATAGGAATAAAATTTATTTTTTTTATATTTAGTAAAAATTTAATGACTTATTATTTAATAATAATTCATATTAAGATTAATCATTATGATTAATTTGTTTTATGTATAAAAATAATTTTAAATTTACATTTTTATTATATAATATGGTTATTATATATATTTTTTAATATAATAGGAATTTTATAATAATTAATTTTTAAAATTATTTATGGACATATAATAGAATATTTATATTACTGTAAAGAAAAATATAAAATAATTTTTTTATATAAAATTTTATTGTATGGTAAGTTTATCATTATATTATATCTTTTTTATTTTTATTATTGTTCTTAAAATATTATGCATTTTTTGCATGATTAATAGTAAAGTTATTAATTATTTTAATAATTATTTAATTTAATTGATTATTTTAATAATGATAATATTAATAATACCAATATAATAAGTTTAAATATATAATAAGTTTTTATATAAAATAAATTTGATTTTTATATTAATATTTACTAAGATTTATGCAAAATATATAAATAACAAAAAAATATAATTTTTAAATATATTTATATTATTAACATATGTTGTAAGTAATATATTTCTAATTTGTTGTAGGCAGATGAAGATCCACCACATGCCTTCTCACAGATCTTTGTGTTGAAGCCACTGGGGAACTCGTTTTTCTGTCAACATGACATCTTTCGTCTTGGCATTCATGATAGTGTATGAAGAGAAATGTCTGCAAGTTTATCACAGTTAATATAGCAGACAAGTATCTGAGCTATGGACTCCACAGATTAAAATAAGTGAGCTACTTTTTCCTTAATCCTTTGTCATCACATATTATTCCATTCTTTCTAGATATTGCAATTTTTATATGAAAAACATTTGCTTATATCTTGGCCATGAAACAAAAAGAGAGCATTAAAAATAAATACAGTTTAATAATTTTCTTGCTTTTCTCTTTTTTTAAGACACCTGTTAATTATATGTTTATAATATAATATTACAATTTAATACAGCACGATATAATGTTTGATTTTAATGGTTAATTATTAAGCTTCAAATTGTATTGTTACATATTTTATCTCCTCATACTGTGTGTATTTTTGTAAAACAAATATTGGCCATTAAATACAACACATAAAATTAATATAATGGTAGTTTCTATTTTAAAAATATTTTAATTTAATAAGAATTTAAAATATATTTAAAATTTCTAGAAAGAAATTTATATACATAATTGTATTTTATTTCAATTATATAAATTATATTTTTATAAATTGCCACGTTTAGCTTGTTCCATTTCAATAGCTTCAAAGAGTGCTTGGAAATTTCCAGCTCCAAATCCCTGAAACAAAAATAATTATAATTTTTATTATTATCTGAATTTAAATAATTATATTAATACCTACATTATGATTATGTCTTTGAATAATTTCTATAAAAAGAGTTGGTCGATCTTGCATATTTTTGGTAAATATTTGTAAAAGATAGCCATTTTCATCATAATCAATTAAAATTTTTAATTTCTGAAAATATAATTGAAAATAAATATTAACAAATCTTTACTAAATTTATTTTATGATCTTGTATTTAATATTTATACCTGAAGTATATTAAGATCTTCCAAAATTTTTATACCATTAGTTTTCAAACGATTTCTTAACATATCATAATAAGTATCTGGAACATCCAAGAATTCCATTCCTCGAGCTCGCAAGTTTTCTATCTGTAAAGTAACAAAAGTTTTTTATTTTAAAACAAAATTTTATAAAAATTTATTATTAAGAATATAATTTACAGCTGTAATTATATCATTTGTATTAAGAGCAATATGTTGCACTCCTGCTCCTCCATAATATTCAACATATTCTTGAATTTGCGAACGTTTTTTGCCAGGAGCAGGTTCGTTTATAGGCATTTTTACAGTTTCTTCCCAGTTCGTCATTACGATAGAACGCAAAGCTGAATATTCTGTATGCAATTGAGTATCGTCTACTGACCAAAATCGATGAAATTGCAAACATCGTTCATACCTAAAATGATATAATAAAAATTTTACATAACAAATATAATCGTATAGATTATATCGTTTTCTTAAATTTGTTTCGTATACCATTTTGCTACTGGTTCCATTTGTTTATCAGGTTGGTTACCAACAACGTGATCCACGAAATTTAATCCTACTTTTGGTCTAAATAATAAAAGAATAGTTATTAAATATTTCATAATATTATACAATATTATCAAAGATAATGTGATTGGATTTAAATTACATACAAATTCTTTGAAAATAGATCTTCTGATGATTTTTGAAATCCTGGCAAAAAAAATCCTTTATACTTCGATCGATCTATTAGTGTATGATATGTGTTTCCGTACTAATAAAAAAGTGAATAATTTTATTGAAATATTATTTTTATTTCATGATATATATCTACATATTATGTGTCTACTTACAGTTTTTATAGTAGCAAATTTTACAGTACCATATTTATCGTTTTCTTCCCATATGTCTTTTACTATTACGGCTCCTCTTTCTTTTGCGATCTAAAAAAATTATAATTTTTCATTTCGTATTTTTTCAAAAAAATTTATGATTTTAACTTACTTTTACAATGATATCTATATTTTCAACATTGAAAGCAATATCACGAACACCATCTCCATGTCGAGAAAGATAGCTTCCCATTTCTTCATTATCAGGTTCATAGGCTGATTCAAAAATAAAAATAATCTATAAATGAAAAATATTCTTTATTTTTTTCTAATAATACAAAATAATTATAAACATTATTTATAATTATATGCAAATATCTAAAAAATCATTTTTATTTCAATAAAAATAATTCATAGAAAATTCATAGAAAATTTGTATAATTAATATTTCTAAAGACAATAATTCATATCTCATAATAATCTTTTAAATCAAATGAGTTTTTATTCAGAATAAAAAATTATTTTATACATTAATTTATGAAATACTATTTTATGAAAGTTAATAAACTGCAATAAAAATTTGTTTAGCAAATTTACCTGATTTTGTTTAATAACATGTGATGCCACGCGCCTAGAACCAGTTTCTAAACCTCGGTAACCTAACGGTTCAAAACCCAATCTATTACAATAATAGCTAGCTGCCTAAATAACAAATGAATTTAAAAATAAATTTATAATATCATTTTAAATATCATAATTATATTCAAAATATATAATATATATTATATTTATCTATTATTTTAGATTAATATCTATATTTTAACAATTAATTGAATAAAGCATTAATTATCTTAACAAATTTTAATTAATGATTTATATTTAAATAAATGTTAATAATTTATTTCTTTTTATGTAAGAATATATAATAAAATTAAAAATATCTTAAAATGAAAGCATTTCATATTATAATAAAAAAATATTAATCCTGAACAAGTATTTATAAATTCCATTTATAATGATTATATGGATTGATTCCATTTATATGATTTTATTAATTCAATGAATTATTCAATGAAAATATTTTGTTTAATAAAATGGTATTTAATTGTAATTACCTGTTTTGCATTTCCAACCCAGAATTTAAGATGATCGAAGGATATAAATTTTCCACCTAAAGGCTGAAAATGAAGAATTATACATTAATAATACATTATTTTTTTTATTTAAACTATTCCTGTTATAATTACCTTCGGTCCTTTATTTGTATATGTAGTCTAAAAAAAAAAATAATAATAATAATATACATTATCAATTTATTATATATATTATTATAATACTATTAATAATAATATTAATTAAATATAGTATAATAATTAAATTCATTATTTTTATAGAATTTTATTCTTTTATAACAAATTAATAAATAACATTCATACCATTTTTAATACTTCAAAAGAGTTAAAACGAGGTAGTTACTGCTTTTTTTTAAATAGTTCTTAATCACAAGTACGTCTTGCTTAAATATAAGCGCGTCAAAGTCAGCGATCGATATTCTAATCGTTGATTGGTTGATCTTGGAGGCTTATTTGTCTCGCATTCTTTTAGAAATTGTGAAATATAAATCAATCGTATAATATTATCGTTAATGAACAGGTTTTTCAAGATTATTATGATCATTCGATATTTCCATGATGGGCTCGCCCGGAATTTTTATCATTTCTTTCAATAACATTTATCAATTTATTTTTTAAAAAAATTTTTATTTATTTTTAATTTTCATTT